GACTACATTTATTTCAGAAGCATTTTGGCTGTAGAGCAGTGTAATAGTAAATATTCCTTGCTGTGAGCACATGCACACACTCTCCCATGTACACTCTCTCACCATGCACACACACAAACACACTAGACACACACACAGCAGGTGTGGAAAGACTACAAATATATGGGGTATATGAGACAGTACTCAAGGTAAGAGTTTGTCATTGTGTGTGATTTATGTGAAACATTGCTACTCATACTGAGAGAGCAACAAATCCACGATGATATTTTGACGACATTCATTGTGTTAAGCAATAACATGTAACAGATGCACCATGTGGAGGTTGCCATCTTGCCCCTGGCTCACTAATCTGGACTTGGTTATTTGAATGTTGCTAATCACCTCTCTTGCCATATGGAAGAAGAAGAATTATAGTGAAACAACTTCTGGAAACCCCTCACCTTGTGCCTAACAAAAGGTACTTTGAATGGACCATGCTTATTCTAGGGTTTGGCCTGCTGTACAGAACACACTCTGCCTACAGAGACTTATTTAACAGATTCTGCTATTAAAATGCTCTGTCAAACTGAAAAATATTGCGGTTTGATGGAGTGAACCCAAACCCCTTTCCAGACTTATAATTCTTATTTGCTCTTCAGGTCCCTCGGGACGTCTGGACTGGAGAATGTTATAAACAGTGTTTAGATTTTATCATCTTTGCTTCAGATTTCTCAAGAGGCAGAAACAGTCCAGCAGTCGGTCAGTTTCAGGAGCTGCCGTTGAGAGAAAAGTCTCCCAAGGACCACGGGATATCATTCAAGCAGAGGACTTTTGTAGCTTCCCTGTCAAACATACACATGGGTTCCACGTCCGTGAAGCCCCCCATCTTCTAATTGGCTGTCCCTATAAAGGATATCCTTTCTTTGCAATCCAAACGTACCTATGTCCCATGCAAAGCTGCTGTTATCCTGCATTCATTCTCCTGCATTAGACAGCAGAACGGTGACTCTGAGATGATGAAAGTGTTGTTTATACGAAAGATTTGACCTCCCCTCGTATTGTGCTTCCTGCACCGTTACTTTGGGTCTTTTGTCTCACCTTTGGGTCCCGGCAGATGAGAGGTCTGAAGAGCATTCTCCCCCAGTTTTTCCCTTTCTAGATCTCATTTTCCTGGGCTTCTGCACTGCAGGGCTGCCCAGAGGATTCAGGGGGCCTGGGGCAAAGCAATTTCGGGGGCCCCTTCCATAAAAAGAGTTGCAATACTATAGAATACTATATTCTCGTGGGGGCCCCTGTGGGGCCCGGATCCTGGGGCAAATTGCCCCACTAGCCCTCCCCCTCTGGGCGGCCCTGCTGCACTGCACCTTGTGACATCCGGTTGGGGAAGACAGAACAGCAGCGCCTTCAGGGACTGTCTATTGGCAGGCAATGATCACTGTGCGGAGTAATATAACAAGAGGCATTTCCCACCTACTTCCGCCTTCACAGCTGAGCTCCATCTCCATGGTGCTCCAGTCCCCCTAATTATGGGGAGCAACTGGTTTTGTCCATTTAAAAGTTTATCTTTCAGCTGTTTGCTGTGTAACTAGATACTGCCCTGGGGAATCCGGGATAACTTTATGTCTGTCACAGGAGAAGCAAACATGCAGCTGCAAGAAGTGTTCTTCTCAGGGAAATAATTACATCAGGGGTTCTCAAACTGGGGGTCGGGACCCCTCAGGGGGTCACGAGGTTATTACATGGAGGGTCATGAGCTGTCAACCTCCACCCCAAACCCTGCTTTGCTTCCAGCATTTATAATGGTGTTAAATATATTAAAAAGTGTTTTTAATTTATAAAGGGGGTCGCATACAGAGGTTTGCTATGTGAAAGGGGTCACCAGTAAAAAAGTTTGAGAGTCACTGAATTATATGATCCAGGAAAGCCCTGATCAACCACATCGTCACCAGGCCTGATCCTGAGGCATGAGTTCCCGAACTCCTACTTCCGTCAGTGGGAGTTGTGGGTCCATTATCACAATGACGGTATAAAGTGCTGCGGGTTTATAAAAGAGATCTGAAATCCTCATGAACGGAGAAAAATGGGGACTCTAAAGATCAGATCTTTGCTTTTTCAACAAGTCAGGAAGACGCTGACTATTTTGATACCAAAAGACGATTATGCCTCCTAGCAAAACAGCCTGCCAGAAATCTCTCACAATCTGATGGCCTTTTCGGGGAGGAGAGATCCTAAGTCCTGCCCAGCTCCCCCTGCCACCTCCCGCTTTACTTAGCTCTAAGTAGACTGTGCTTAAAATGGTACAAAAATCTCAAAACTCCCTTCCACGTGGGAAATCGCATGTGGTGAGTGGGTGTAAAGTCTCTGTGTGTGTGGTGAACAAATAGACAGCATCTGAAACACCTCCCCCCCCCCTTCTTCTTTCTATACAGCCAAGTATCCAGGGCTGTTTCTCCCACCACCACATCTCAGATACAAGCCAGGAAGAAGCGGAGAGGGGTGAGTAGCATTTATGCTACCAAATCTAACAGCCACATTGTGCCCGTCAGTGGCATGCACAGCTTGAGGACATGCGAATGCTGTTAGGTTTTTAACGCTCATTACTGAGTAAGCTATATGTCAGCAAAGAAATGGGCTGTTTTAACCCTTCTGTCTCATGGATCTCTATTGTTAACGAGGGTGAGCTCCATATCCCAAGGGAGAAGCAGTGTTAGAACAGTATAGGAAAGAGGAACCCAGGGTGCTGGCTTCTATTTCCAACGCTACACCCCCAGGGATGGGCTCTTCTGGGGGCTGGAGAGGCTCCAGGCATAACGTAGCTTTGGTGGCCTGTCTAAGTCACAGCACCCTCCCTGAGCTGCCCCCTGGACCACCGCACTGGCTGGAATCTCCGTAGGGCTGCATGATGCTGCCCTATATCGAGCGTGTCCATTGTGATGGGCCTGTGACAGGGTCCTCTGAAGGTAGCCCTACAGCTGTCCTCCACCCTGCCTTCACTGGGGAAATCGTCCTCAGCCGCAACTGGGGCTTGTCAGGCCCTTTTATCCTCCCTGTAGCGGTTGGGCTCCCACCCCAAGTATTGTTGGGCAAGTCATTTAACCCCCCCCCCGTGCCTCAGTTTCTCCATTGGTAACACTGATTTATTACATTTGATTAAAAGCGCCTATCTAAAACTGTAGATATTAAAGGGGATATTAAAAATGGGGGACAATCTGTACCGCATGGAGGGCTATGAGGCTCCATTAACCAATGCTTGTTAAAGAATTTGAGATCCCTAGATGGAAGGCATTCTAGAAATGGGAGGGATACGTCTAAAAATGATGACGGGATATGGGGCCCAGCTATGCTCCTCTGAATGGAATTCTTTTGTAGATCATTGAGAAGCGGCGCCGTGACCGTATTAACAGCAGCCTGTCTGAACTGAGGCGTTTAGTCCCTACTGCCTTTGAGAAGCAGGTACGTGCAGAATGTTAGACTTGACCGTTTTCCCCCCAGAGGCTTATCATTTTAAGAAAGGCAGTAGTGTCCCTAGCCTCTGGTTGCCAGAAGCTGGGAATGAGCAATGGGGTTGGATCACTTGATGATTCCCTGTTCTGGTCATTCCCTCTGGGGCACCTGGCACTGGCCACTGTCGGAAGACAGGGTACTGGGCTAGAGGGACCCTTGGTCTGACCCAGTAGGGCTGTTCTTATGTTCTTATGTTAAAGGAAAGACCTGCTGGTGCTTATGAACAAACATACATAGAGGGGTCGTATCAGCAGAGTAAATTATCTTCAGGCAGCCCAAAGCAGGGTTGTGGTTCAATGGTTGGGAGGTATCTTGCTTTTACAGCCATTCCACATTAGGCGTTAATTTAATTAGCTCTCATTAGCTGAGCAGGGTTTGGATAGTGGTCAGTGCTTGGATGAAGAGCACCAGCTGGTGCTGTAGAAAGAGATGCTGGTGATGGAGTAGGTAGCATTCTTCTCTCTGCGTCGTCAATGCTGCCCTAATGCTTAAGCAGATGCTGTCTTAGGATGAAATCTAAAAACAAGGTCCTGCCCATTCACTGTGAAAAGATCTCCTGAAATCCAAGTCACGTGTCCGGCATATGTGATTGTTGCTTCTTTTTGTCCCCTGTTACCATCTGTTTGTCTAAAGGCCCCAAACCTCTCAGGGTGCTTTTCCCAGTTGGGGTGTTAAACCCAAGAGTCATGCTCAAATTGTAACTTGGGTAATGCTATTCTGTTTTCCTAAATTCCTTCTGCAACTACATTTGGAGATATTATTCTTCATTGGCTAAGTTTAAAGGGTAACGCAATGTCAACGGCGCACAATGACTGCTGCATTCCACCCCAGAGGTGGCTGCATTTCACTTGATGGGTAATTGTTAAATACAGTCTGTAGATCCTTTTAGGATTCTTCAAGATTGAAAACCCTATAAACACTCTAAATTATTATCACCCCAGAGGATAAGTGGGTGGTAATAAATCTTCCAGGACATCTTATGGAGGATAAAAGACATTTTGCAGCAGCAGGGCTGAATGGAAATAGAGATTTTCCGTTTGCTTCACAGTCTCTTTTGAGGGGAGATCCATTTTCCTTACCACTTGATTCGAGAGGAGTCTGAATCCAAACCCTGAATCTGTTATTTCTGCCCATTTCTGGAAAGTTCAGGCCCCCTTGAAGCTGGCTCCCTCAGTGAGATGGAATCCTAGATTTTAAAATGGTGGATTGATAGTCTCTCTTTCTCTTCCCCTCCCTGCTTTCAATACACAGGGCTCCTCCAAGCTGGAGAAGGCAGAGATCCTGCAAATGACAGTGGACCATTTAAAAATGCTTCATGCCACTGGAGGAACAGGTGAGAACTGCTTCTGTAAACGTGTGTTTTGAGGGTGAGATCCTGGCTGTATTGAAAGCAACTGCAAAACTCCCACTGACCCCCCCGGGGGACCGGATTTCTTCTGAGGGGAGGAAAATTCACCCTTGAATCCGAGAGCAGCGTCCCGCTGTTATTGTCCGTTGTTTACTCCAGAAATCGTTAATGCTAAGGATATAGAAAATATTGGTGTTTGCTTTTGAAAGGAAGCGGCTCTCCCAGGGGAGGCTTTCCACTTCCTGTGCTACTATTTGTGATCCTGCAGATGGGTCAGAATCTCACATTTAGGCCTTGGCAGACTGAGGTGTGCCAGATGGTGTGTTCTGTGTAACCACAGAAAAGGCAGCCAACTCCCAGAACAGCGACAGCCCCGGGCAAGGCTACACACTTAGTCAGGCTCGCAAATGGACCTGGCTTCCAAACCAAAGTCTGCCTCCTCCGCATCCCATCGGGATGTTTCCTGGCACTGCCTGGAGTCTGGTTAGTGACTCTGCATAGAAACATGACTTTTCCCCTCCCCCATCTCAGGGTTTGTAAAACACAAGGGGATACACATCCTCCGCAAGAGCAAAGTTCCCATTCTCCGCTTGCCCAGCGACTCTGGTGGGGATCTCAGTTTCAACACAGTAATCCTCTGACTCGGTTAAAACACAGTTCTGTCTTGCTGGGTAGATGGGACCAGACTGTGGACTTTAGCACAGTTACATCATGGTCTAGGAACATTGTTTAAATACTCAGCATGACTACGCTACCAGGCTGAAACATGTTGTCAACAGGGTCCCCAAAATGTGAAGTGGTACAGTACTTTGTCCACGCTGGTTGCGTTCTCTGGTTTACTGCCCATCCTCTCGGGAAGTCCAAGAAGGAAAGAGACTGAAGGAACAATTGGTAGTTTTATTGTACTTCACTGATCGTCTCCACAATCCAAGGCTTTGGGCCTCTAGAGCCAATAGTCTTGGGTCTGAGACTGTCTCATATCCTTCAATTGGACATCTGTTTAAATAAAATATGAGTAACAGAGTCAAACAGTTGTCTCTAAACGCAGGGAGGGGTTATTAAGCTTTTCATTGAGAAGCAGAAACCACACAACCTGCTGTTCTAGGAATGGCCATCCCAGAAGAGACCCAGCTAGTCCAGAATATTGCCTCCAGTAGCAGCCAGTGACAGAATCCAAAGGAAATTCCTTCCTGATCCCAGCTGGTGATCAGTTTATGCCCTGAACCAAGAACATTGATGGCCCTGATCATTTTATCCTAGCTAGAGTAACTGCAGATGCTAGTCTTATTCATGTAAACATCACATCTTTTTTCAAGCTTACTTGGCTATTTGCTTCAATAATATCATGGGGCAGCAAATTCCTCAGGTTAAATACCCCATTACATTAAAATGGGTAGCGCTATCAGATGCCTGTGCTCTTGGTGGACATGATGCTCTATATGTCTTTTTCTCACAGGGTTCTTAGATGCCCGATCCCTGGCTGTGGATTACAGGAGTATCGGCTTCCGTGAATGCCTCACTGAAGTTGTCAGATACCTTGGTATCCTCGAGGGACAAAACGGTGCTGATCCTATCCGGCTACGACTCCTCTCCCACCTGAATAATTATGTTGCCGAAATGGAGCCTTCGCCCATGGCCACTTCCCTTCTGCCCTTTCAGATGTGGCCCTGGTCATTCCTCCACAATTCCACAGCCCCCGCCAACCAAGTACTAATACCCAGGAGGGAGGCTGTCCCAGGTCTAGCTGTCTTGACTGCTTCCCCCCTGGCTTATCCAAGCACCACCATGAGAAGAGCTCCCGTTCGCCGAATTCCTAGTGCCATCATGCCAGCCCGCCGAAACTTCCTTTCCAATCGGATGGCCTCTTCGTCCCGGAGGGCTAGACCCACAGTGACATCACCAACCCCAGGTGCCATGTCCAGTGTGCCATCACCGAGGGGTGCCCTGAGAGATGCCACCTCTAGAAGCAGCCAGATTGCAACTTTCCTGCTCTCCTCTGCCTCTGCTGGAGTTCCCGTACCATCTGCTTCTTACACAGCTCCTCCTGCTTTGAATGCTTCTCCTCAGGGGCCAGGCACCAGAGGTGGGACTTCCAGACTCTGCCGCTCCTGGGCTACTGAAATTGGGGCTTTCTGATCCCTCCCTGACAAAATCCTAAGGGAGACAAAAATCATCAGCAGCCACTGCTCAAAAAGCACGCTCCGGTGAACAGCTTCTTTCCTGCTTTGCAGAAATAAAGAATCGATAAAGGATCCTCTCCTCACCTTGCCATCCCTTCTCATTCCTCACGTCCTCTTCCCTCCCTCCCCATCACACTGCCTCCCTCTTTTCCATTTCAGGTTTGCAGATTTTGTTTTGAACTGAATGTATTTGTCTGTGTACAGCTCCACTAAAGGTTGTGGATGAGGTTTATCCTAATTCAGACCTTTCCCTTCCCCAGCCCAGGCCCTGGTAGAGCTGAATGTTGTAGTTTTGAGAATGTAAACCAGCCTTGGCACTGATTTGACTTTGCTGGAGACACAGAGCTCCCAAGCAGTGACACTTTCTATCACTTGTATGCAGTGTTGTCGTAGCCATGTAGGTCCCAGGATGTTAGCAAGACAAGATGGGGGAGAGAATATGTTTTATTGGACCAACTTCTGTTGGTGACCAAGAAAGCTTTCCAGCTTACACAGAGCTCTTCTTCAGGCCAGCCCTGAAGAAGAATTCTGTGTCAGCTCGAAAGCTTGTCTCTCTCACCAACAGAAGTTGGTCCAATAAAACATATTCCCTCCCACACCTTGACTTTCGAACACTGACTTCCTCCCAGCTTCAGCATGTTGTTTGACAGGGTCTAAGTGAGGTGAGACGTGCTGGCGAGTAATGAGACAACCCACCACACGCACACAACCTGTCCTTTAATAACTGAACCCCACCCCCATCAGGCTTGCTGTGAATAGTCAGGACAGTTGGGAGGTTCCTCTCCGTTGGCCAACCCCATTCTCTTGATCTCTAAAAATGGAGAGCTTGACATTATGCATAACAGGCTCATTCAAAACACATAACCCCGAGGGACGAGTTGGAGGAAAACGTAACAGTTCCCGATCGCCCTCTGAACTGACACACTGTGATACCCAGTACGCATTCCTGCACAGAGAATTATCCCAGCACAAGACTTCCTGTACTTAAGACCCCAATACTATGTGCAGTCCACATTTTCATTTCCCGTGGCTCGGTCTTTACCTAAAACCAGGGCCTTCCCAAGTGTCACTAGTGGACTTAATTCATGGAAACATTTGCCTGATCCTGTGCTTAGATCAATGCTGTTATCAGCAGGGCC